TAATGGCATGTCTGGGACCTTGACGTTTACTTCCATTGTATTGTCCAGACTCGATTATTTACAGATCGCTGTCATATAGCTGGAATATTAGAGAGTGCGGTGTTAAACAACAAACAAACCAAGTGCACGTATGATTGTGTGTCTCTTTCAGCAATATCATGGCTGGGGACACCAGTAATGGGCTTCACACAATGTACCCATGTGGTGAATCGAACCCGGGCCTTCGGCGTGATGAGCGAACGCTTTAACCACTAGGCTACCCCACCGACTAGGCCGTTACCTGGCCTGGAATTGAGTCCTTGGCATGACCATATCATGAAACTATCCAGCCTGTGTCTACTTGCTTGTTCAGCATGTTCAGTTAACACTGTGAGATTTGCACTGTACCAGAGCTCCAGATAACTTTTTGAGCAATTGAGTTTTTACTCAAAGGTTTCCATTTAAATTGGGTTATTACATTTTTCATTGGGTAACCAATATTTTTTCACTCATCTATTTATCACTCTATTGTGGTTTTTCCCAAAATGAAGGCCAGGGATACTTCTTGCATTCACTGGTGCTGGTTGGAATCGATTTCGTAGGTGTGTTGTCCGAATCCAGCTGTCTTGTCGATTATTGGTTACGTGTGGCCTGCCACTCCAAGGATGGTCTCTGACTGCATTCGTCTGTTACCAACGTTGCCATAAACACTAAATGGTGTTTCTGTGGACGTTAAATTGTCTTGCAACATCACACTGACTCGATCCTGCTTCAAGCACAGCAATGGCTCGCAGACGCTCTTTTTCGGACAGGTGTGGCATTTCGTAATGCTGAATAATTGCGTAATTTTGTTTTTTTTCTGAGTGGTTGTTGTCAGCACAATGCTAAACAAGGCATATGGAATCCTGTTAACGCACATGTTTTTATACCCATTATTGGGTAGTGAAATGCATGGGGCTTGCATAAAAGTCAACTTTTGCATGGAATGCATGTTTTTCTGAAGCAGTTGCGTTTTTGTGGCTTGGTTCCATACATGTACTACAATATTAAAAACCAAACTTTACTTGTTTGAAAAATACACTAAAATATTGGTGTCACAGGAACTTTTGTTGTTGAGTATATGAATATCACCGATGTTTTGTTCAACAACAAAGATTTATAAGGTACTTTATTTGCCGATCCACAGCAGCGGTAGATATTGGCACTAGTCCTGTAGTCTTTACCAAACTGCCCAATAGTAAAGGTATCCTAAGGACTAGTAGAAATTGACCCATTTTAAGGGTTTTGCTCCGTGTTATCATTATAAGGACTAGTGGACAAAAACTGTTAGTTTCTAACCCTGCACAGGGACTGGCAGTCACATGATTCACGGTCCAAGCCTAATTTCAACAGTAAAAAAATGGTAATAACCGGTAAACAGGGACGCTGAGTGAGTGAGTTGGGTTTAACGCCGTTTCTCATAGTATTCCAGTTATATATTACGGCATGTCAGGTTGATGGGGGACGAAAGCTCGAAGTGATGCAGACATTTACCACTTTGGTGAAACCAATAAGCACTGGTATGGTACTGACAAACCTAGAAACTAAATCGGGGCGAACCGGGATTCGAACCCACAATCAAAGGTTTCTGGCATGTCCAAGGGACAGAACTCTGTACACAGGACTGGGCCAGGCCACCCCTGTTACCTGATGCACAAACCTTGTGTTATGCTCTCGCTGACTGGCTGAAGATATTTCTCTCCTTTTGAGTCCATTGGTTTAATCACATAGGGCAAAATCACTTTTGATTGTTGCTAGGCAGGGCGAGTCTCAGGGTAATACCATCTTTTAAAGAAGTGCATGTGACACTTTCTCATCTCATTAAAATACAGATATAATTTGTAAATGTAATAATAGTCCATATGCTGTGACTAAGTCGAAAGTAATGCTCGAAAGTAATGCCTATAATTTATAGAGGTTTGTGCTCCTAAACATCAAGATATTAGCACACACTGCAGACCCGTGAAGATCCAGGGTAGAACTGGTCTTCAGCAACCCATGCTTGCAGTAAAAGGCGACTGACGGGATCGGGTGGTCAGGCTAGCTGACTTGGTTGATGCATGTCATCGATCCCAATTGCGTGGATCGATGCTCATGATATCAATCACTGGATTGTCTGGTCCAGACGATTATTTACAGACCACCGTCATATAGCTTGAATATTGCTGAGGGCGGCGTTAAACAACAAACCAACCTCATAGTCATAGAGGACATGACACCCTGATCTAACACCTCGATATAACTGTCAACATATCATATCAATGTGATTGTAACTATCCCAGTTTTCGGCCTGAGTCCGAGGCGCAGGATACCATCAACTATATGGACCATGACACGACCTACCACCAGTAAGATATCAAAGTAGGTGTTGAGGTGCTGTTGGTAGTGGTAGAGCGTCCGCCTGGAGAGTGGAAGGTCCGGTGTTCTATCCCCGGTAGTGTCATACCAAAATACGTCAAAAGATGGTACTTGTTACTGGGGTAGTCATGTTAAAATGTGGCATGGTATCTCAGTGGGCTAGCACTATATATCAGCATTGGACCGGACTAAGACGATGATGCCATCAATAACAGTCAGCTGAGTCTCTTCATGCAGAACAGGCGCGATGGGGTAGCCTAGTGGTTAAAGAGTTGGCTCGTCACGCCGAAGACCCGGGTTCGAATCCCCACATGGGTACAATGTGTGAAGCCCATTTTCTGGTGTCTCCCGTCATGATATTGCTGGAATATTGCAAAAAGCGGCATAAAAAAATACTCTTGCAGAACATAGCAATTTACAATATATGTTCCCTTTCCTTGTAATGTTTTATATAAGTCTGCTAGTCCCAGAACAAGGGATGTCTTGTCAGCTTTAGAACTTGGCACAAGTCCTGGTCCTTGCCAAACTGGCCAATAGTAAGGCATCATAAGGACTAGTAGAAATAATGCCATTTTAAGGGTTTTGCAAATATGTTAGTTTCTAGCCCTGCTTATGAACTACCACCAGTTGTCTGGAGTCACTGAGTATCCTCATAGCACTATCAAAACTGTGTAGTTGTGGTTGGCAAACAATCATGTCCTGGCGTTCTGTCTATTGTCACAGAAACACCACAAATCCACTGAGATTGAAGTCAATATAATTCTACATATTTACTGGGGTAACACTTTTAACACCTCAGTGGTAAACAAACAAGTGGGTCAATGCTTGGAAAACATGCAGAAGTATGAGGCATGGTTTTGACACTCTAGCGTTTGCAGCAAACTCACTTGACCCAGTGGACATCTGTACCCATGCATGACAAAAAAAGACAGGCTGATTTCAAAGATGTACTGGATCTAAACCATTTGACCTTTTGAGCAAAGGTAGCCTGCAGTTATTTTTGTGAGAGTTGGCAGGCTGCCAGGAGCAGAAGAATGAGGCTATGGTCTGTTTCATAGTTCTCACAGTCTCATGGGATTGGCCTGGGCTCAAACAAGAGCTGCTTTACTAAATTGTATACAAAGTCTCCCTGTTCAGTTAAATGCCAAGACTTCTTCATCAAAGTATTCAGTGATTTATCATCCGATAGACAAAATGAACATTATTCAAAGCTTTTTAGTACAAAGAAAGGGAAAGTACATTGAAAGTACCTTGCCACATACAATAAATCACCTTTAATAACAATACTGAAATATTCTAGTAACTGTTTCATAGTCAGAATGATTCTAGATTATTATTGTGTGGCATAAGACAAGCGTTAACATGAGATTGCTTCCAACTAGATTTGTCCAGGCATGGCACAGTTGACTACAGTATTACTATATAATCATAATATGAATTACAACTTGTTAAATCCACACAAATTCAGTTTCATCATTGTGACAGTTTTGTCACCATGACTGACATCCATCAGTGAAAGAACTGTAACTTAATCCCCTACTCAGAAAAAAAACATCCCCATTGTCTGCCCATGGTGCTCTGAATTAATTCATTGAATCATTACATTTGAAAATATCAAGCAATCACGTAAAGTTCACAAAACTGTGAGGATGACTGTTTTTTTATTAAATAATTGGAACTGTATGTACAGTATGCAACTAAGGTAATTCGAAACTTGTAAATAACATAGGTATATAATATGTGATTAAATTAAACACTCATAATGTTAAACTTAACACAGGTTCATAAAATACCTTAGATACCCAAGAGGATAAAGTAAAAGATTCTCCAGTCAAAACACCTTGGTATAATGTGGTAATATTATCATGCAATGCACCTCTAAATTTCCTGCATATAACTTATGACCCCTAACTTACTTTACTATCAATCCTAAAGAAAGCCTTTGTAAGAAACTTTCAAAGAGATAAAGCTCACATGTGTAAAACTACCTCTGGTAATACCTCGTTATCATGGACAGGATCGGATGTTCAACTATAAATCAAAGAAAGGAGCTATTAATAGCACACTCTTGCTCAAGGCATAGCTAAATGGAAATGGACTATATTGGGTGGAGAGTATTGGGGAACCGACTATAGCTGTTGTGGTGACACTTGGGGGAACGGACCATAGGCCCGAAATAAGCGCTATGTTTCGTGTCCAGGTGCACTGGCATTACGCTATCAGTACAAATTATCCAAATAATTACCTAAATGAAAATGTCACCATGAATGAATGTAAAACGGCGCAAACTTACACTGCCATAAACAGCAAATCTTGCTCACTATATCTCGACTACCTCGACCAACACAACCTGTGAAAATGTCGGCAATAAACGTAGCATTGGTATACTAACTGTAACCACATTACACACAATAATATTCTCCCTCAGTCGTATCAATGGCAACCATCAAATAGAACCGTTATGATTTGTCATGCAACGTATTTGTGGAACTATAGCCTTTTCTAAGTTTCCATTCAAACGAAAACGCGAGGCTTTTATCCCTTTTGTGGCCGAACCATAAATTGATATTTCAAACAACACAATACATACGTTATCAGAACACTGAGAGAGGGTAAAGACCTACCTTGCTATCACTAGTCCCACAGCAGATTCTTATATCAGTAGGATAATACTGCGCCTTACGAATCGTTCACAGCAGGTTCCAAACAACGCCACACAACTTGTGCACGTTTCTGAGATAAAGAATACAATATTCCAGACGAAAATGCCAAACTACGGTACTGTTTACATCCAAACACCGTGTGAACCACAAAATATTCCGTGAATAATAAGCAGAATCTTTAAATTATAATTGGTACTCTTCAGCGTTGCCTTCTCTTCCCCTCCTTATGGCGACAATGGCGGAAGAACACTATGCAGTGCGGCAAACAGGCTTCTGACTGCAAGCAAGAGATCAAATATATGTACACGTATGACGATTGGCGAGTCCTGTAAGAGCATTAAAATCCATCGAGCGATTATCAGAGTGCTGTTATAAATAAATTCATGTTCGATTTTGTCTGCGGGTTTCATTGCACTAACCTCGCGGAGCGATACATCATCAGGGACACGCAACACGACCGAATTACTGTGAGTGACGTCACAAAATTGGGTTGAATTATTCTCATTTCGAAAGGGGTTGAAGGTCTGAGTGGAATGTGTTTTTTTTGTTATGACGTGTGTCCTGCTGGTTTTCAATGACACACGCAAGTTGTTTTATGGTAGAACCTGTCAAAATGTTCACATATTAACAGAGTACGTGCCAGAGGTTTCCATATGGAAAGAATAATCTATCCTGGCGGACATTGTGAATGATGAAATCTTCCAGATTAGTCTATAAGCAGTGAGTGTGGATACACAAAGTAGCCGGTGCGTCTGGTGTGATACAAATGATCGGAACAAACTACAAATGTTCCTTCTAAACAGAATACGTAATTACAGTCATTTGTATTTTTGCAGAAGCCATTGGAGTAAGTAAATCCCAGCTTGTATTTTAATAGGTCAGGCGCTGACACTAGCTCACGCCCCTACTGTCTGTATTGGTTTCGTTCGTGACCTAGTCGGATTCACCTGACTTGACAACTCAGTAAGTAGCCAAACGCAGCCAATCTCTGAGCGTGAACTTTTCGCGGCGAAACCGGTTATCGATTCGAGAATATATTGGCGTTCCGTGAACAATGTACATTTTATTTGCACTATTCCGACAGAACGCCCACGTGGCGTGGCTATTTGTGTGCATCAAGAAGTGATCGGAAAATTTAATTTGTGTACGATAAAGACACAGAACATTATAGTTAGATCTACTAGAGTCTAGATTCTACGCCAGGACATCTGTGTACATCGACCTGCTTTATGTTACTTCCAGTTATGAGTGCTATGTTCTTTATGCGAGCCCTCTATACCGTGGTCCTGTATGAGTGCTATGTTCTTTATGCGAGCCCTCTATACTGTGGTCCTGTATGAGTGCTATGTTCTTTATGCGAGCCCTCTATACCGTGGTCCTGTATGAGTGCTATGTTCTTTATGCGAGCCCTCTATACTGTGGTCCAGTTATGAGTGCTATGTTCTTTATGCGAGCCCTCTATACTGTGGTCCTCTATGAGTGCTATGTTCTTTATGCGAGCCCTCTATACCATGGTCCAGTTATGAGTGCTATGTTCTTTATGCGAGCCCTCTATACCGTGGTCCTGTATGAGTGCTATGTTCTTTATGCGAGCCCTCTATACCGTGGTCCTGTATGAGTGCTATGTTCTTTATGCGAGCCCTCTATACCGTGGTCCAGTTATGAGTGCTATGTTCTTTATGCGAGCCCTCTATACTGTGGTCCTGTATGAGTGCTATGTTCTTTATGCGAGCCCTCTATACCGTGGTCCTGTATGAGTGCTATGTTCTTTATGCGAGCCCTCTATACCGTGGTCCTGTATGAGTGCTATGTTCTTTATGCGAGCCCTCTATACTGTGGTCCTGTATGAGTGCTATGTTCTTTATGCGAGCCCTCTATACTGTGGTCCTGTATGAGTGCTATGTTCTTTATGCGAGCCCTCTATACCGTGGTCCTGTATGAGTGCTATGTTCTTTATGCGAGCCCTCTATACCGTGGTCCTGTATGAGTGCTATGTTCTTTATGCGAGCCCTCTATACTGTGGTCCAGTTATGAGTGCTATGTTCTTTATGCGAGCCCTCTATACCGTGGTCCTCTATGAGTGCTATGTTCTTTATGCGAGCCCTCTATACCATGGTCCAGTTATGAGTGCTATGTTCTTTATGCGAGCCCTCTATACCGTGGTCCTGTATGAGTGCTATGTTCTTTATGCGAGCCCTCTATACCGTGGTCCTGTATGAGTGCTATGTTCTTTATGCGAGCCCTCTATACTGTGGTCCTGTATGAGTGCTATGTTCTTTATGCGAGCCCTCTATACCGTGGTCCAGTTATGAGTGCTATGTTCTTTATGCGAGCCCTCTATACTGTGGTCCTGTATGAGTGCTATGTTCTTTATGCGAGCCCTCTATACCGTGGTCCTGTATGAGTGCTATGTTCTTTATGCGAGCCCTCTATACCGTGGTCCTGTATGAGTGCTATGTTCTTTATGCGAGCCCTCTATACTGTGGTCCTGTATGAGTGCTATGTTCTTTATGCGAGCCCTCTATACTGTGGTCCTGTATGAGTGCTATGTTCTTTATGCGAGCCCTCTATACCGTGGTCCTGTATGAGTGCTATGTTCTTTATGCGAGCCCTCTATACCGTGGTCCTGTATGAGTGCTATGTTCTTTATGCGAGCCCTCTATACTGTGGTCCTGTATGAGTGCTATGTTCTTTATGCGAGCCCTCTATACTGTGGTCCTGTATGAGTGCTATGTTCTTTATGCGAGCCCTCTATACTGTGGTCCTGTATGAGTGCTATGTTCTTTATGCGAGCCCTCTATACTGTGGTCCTGTATGAGTGCTATGTTGTTTATGCGAGCCCTCTATACTGTGGTCCTGTATGAGTGCTATGTTCTTTAAGCGAGCCCTCTATACTGTGGTCCTGTATGAGTGCTATGTTGTTTATGCGAGCCCTCTATACTGTGGTCCTGTATGAGTGCTATGTTCTTTAAGCGAGCCCTCTATACTGTGGTCCTGTATGAGTGCTATGTTCTTTATGCGAGCCCTCTATACTGTGGTCCTGCACTATGACCGTGGAATATATTTATTTTATGAAAAAAATAATAATCTAGAAACGCATACAAAAGCAAGTCTAGCCAGCTCAAGCTAGCTCTATTCCACAGCATAGGGAATTTTTATTTTATTTTTAGAGTCAAGAAGGTTGCTGTGTAATATAAGATTTCAGAGACTAAATGTTAGTCTATCTATACTGCTGCTTCTGTCGTCTTGGTGCCTGACAGCGATGAACTGAAACACAGAGAAGATGGCAGTCATGGCATATATGCAGGGTGTCACTGTGTAACTTCAGCACTTCGTTGGGACCGACACAGCGGGCGGACAACCCACGTACCGTACAACCTCGATTAAAGGCCATTTGCAGTCGTTTCGCAAGAAATAGGGGAGACGGGGTCATATTGGGGTAAATGGGTTTTGATCAAGAGAACAGTGCAATTAACAAACGCAAGGCAGCATGGGATAGGACCAGTTGAATATTTGTTTGTTTTGTCCCAGTCCACCCCACGTGCAGGTACAATGGGACTCTTGGGACAGAGTGGGGCCAGCACGTACATCGCTAGTAGACTCGGGGCCCTGTTAAGTAAGTCTGCGTTAAAGTTACGACCATCTTAGCGCTACGATCGCTTTGTGAAACAGGTCCGAAGGGGGGACATTTGAACTTTGCGCATATTTCTGCTGTACATGTACATGTTCTTTCAACAATGTGAAACTTAAGGCAGTTTACCCATGAGAACTTAATCATATTTTGACAATTAAATACGCCCCGTTTGTCACAATGTTAAATCTTCAATAACAGCACGTTTGTATCTTACATTTTTCATGTGAAACTACCAAATGACCTTCACACAACCTTAAATTCACACTACCTTCACACAACCTTCACGTACACTACCTTCACACTACCTTCACGTACACTACCTTCACACTACCTTCACGTACACTACCTTCACACAGCCTTCACATATCCTAGCTTCACGTACACTACCTTCACAATACCTTCAGGTACACTACCTTCACGTACACTACATTCACACAACCTTCCCACTACCTTCACACTACCTTCACACAACCTTCTCGTACACGACCTTCACACTACCTTGACACAATCTTCACAATACCTTCACACTACCTTTACACAACCTTCACAGTACCTTCATTCAACCTTCACATCCTCTTCACGTACAATACCTCACACAACCTTCACACTACCTTCACGTAATCTACATTCACACAACCTTCACACAACCTTCACACAACCTTCACACTACCTCCACACAACCTTCACACTACCTTCACGTACACTGCCTTCACACAACCTTCACACTACCTTCACGTACTTTACCTTCACACAACCTTCACACCAACAAGTGACAGCTGTACTTGTATTTCAAGTCCTACTACATATAACTCCCTGCTGCCGTAATGTCTCCAATAACAGATTGATAAAGACGAGCAACACAGATCCATGACTCACCTGAATTCCAATGAAATATATCAAATATTAGGTTTTAAACGTGTTAATGGTCAAAACAAAATACGTCACTTTTCATACCACATTCAAGCTTACGGCATATCAAATTTCATGATTAAAGATGCAAATACGTCTGAATAATTTGGAAACATGACATTTTCAATATGACTGCAGTAAATGTAGGTACACGAGGGAATGCAACATACTTAATGCATATCAAATTTCATAATAATCCATACATAAATAGTCGAGTAATGGGCAACAAGGATAATTTAAACATAGGATAATAATGTATGTGAAAAAGTGATATAAATAGCCGAGCTGGTATCCTCCTGTCACCATCTTAGGGATCCTATGCATGACGACTTCAGGGGAGATGTGGACAATCAACTACACATTTGGTGCCTCCTGTCACCATCTTAGGGATCCTATGCATGACGACTTCAGGGGCGATGTGGACAATGAACTACACATTTGGTGCCTCCTGTCACCATCTTAGGGATCCTATGCATGACGACTTCAGGGGCGATGTGGACAATGAACTACACATTTGGTGCCTCCTGTCACCATCTTAGGGATCCTATGCATGACGACTTCAGGGGCGATGTGGACAATCAACTACACATTTGGTACCTCCTGTTCGTGCTCCGACTTGTCAGGGAAATGTCTCAAGACTGATGTCACTTCCTCACGTGATTGGCTACTTACAGGCAGTTTCACAGGGTCCCCCAAAGTCCCCCAAAGTTCCCCAATGTCCCCCGATCTCCCCTTAACGCACGTGAGGTGGGCACACATAATTGCACGATGCTGCCGTTGCACACCACGTTAGATCAAGACTTGGGTGCCGTTGCATAAAACAACCTTAGCGCTACGAGTGTCGTAAGTCTATGTTTAGGAATGGGAGTTACGATCACCTTAGCGCTGAGATCGCTTTGCACAACGGCACCCTGGT